CAGAAACTGGCATACTTGCTTGGAAAGAAACCCCATTGATTCTACTTTTAATCAAACTTTTCCTTTATAAAAAGCCAGGCAGTCTGAGGAAAATGATATGTCATTTTAAACAAATGTCACTGTCGTACCTCTCGAAATCTTTGCAAATTTATATTCTTTATTCTATTACCACAAATAATTTCAAATAATGAAAACTTCAGGGGAATATTAGAGTGGAACTGTAGAAAAACATAATATAAATTACTGTATCTATTCCACAAGGTTGTTCTTACATTTACTAATGATTTTAAAAGTTTGCAGTGATGGGGTTTTTCTCTGGTTTGATATGAAACAGCTCTATAAACATGAGCCATGCCACAGAATCATAGAATCACTAGTTTGGGTTGGAAGGGACCTTAATGACCATCCAGTTCCAACCCCCCCGCCATGGGCAGGGACACCTTCCACTAGCCCAGGTTGCTCAAAGCCCCGTCCAACCTGGCCTGGAACACTGCCGGGGAGGGGGCAGCCACAGCTTCTCCGGGCAACCTGTTCCAGTGTCTCACCACCCTCGCAGTAAGGAATTTCTTCCTTACATCTAACCTAAATCTACTGCCTTTCATTTTAAAGCCGTTACTACATCCAAATGCTTCTGACTACTTGGACCTGAAGTGTCATTCTTTGTGTTCACACTGTGTTTCTGTTAAATCTAATAAAGAATAAACAGCATTGGTCCACCTTGTTGAGCAGTGGCTTTAAAATTTTCCTAGTGAAATGTGACCTTTTAACCAGTAAGCACATAGTATTGTGTAGGCATTGTTGCCAAGAGATATTTGGAAAATAGGGAAGAGGGAAGGGGTTGTATTCTTATTTCCTGGATTAAGCAAAAGGTTTCTATTGAATTTCTCAAATAGACAGATTGTACTCATATATTTGGCAGTATTTTCTGCCCAAGGAAGAGACAACACTTGGTGATTCTCCACAGCCTGTACATGAAATTGGACAAAATAACTTTAATACTTCTTGGAAAATCTAAGAAATTTTGTTATCAGCCAAATGTTAGTAACCTAAATCAAACCAACAAAAAATGTAAACTGTATTGATTGAAAAGCTGACCCTTCTCTCAGCAAAAGCTCACTGAGCAGCTGTTCTCAGAGTGGGGACATAAGCAGGTCATAGCAAATGGCTCCACTTCCACAGCTGTTGGAGAGTCATCAAAAAAACTTGATACCCTCCACCTCCAGAGGAACTTTATTCAAATATAATGTTAATCAGAAAGATTCTTCTCCAACCTGACCTCTTTCTCTTGATTAATACAGCCTGAGAAACAGAGCTGGTTTGTTTTTTATGCCCAGCCCAACATTCTCTTTGTTATTCAATTTATAAATGTGTCAAATATAATTAAAACTGGTAGAGGTCAAGATTAAATCAAACAAACTGTAAACATTGCTTGTGCTATTTGGTTGATGCAAAGCTTTCACCATAAAAGGCTTTTAAATAAATGAATTCAGCCATTACTGTGGTGTAGCACTGAAACCTTGCTCCAAGTATTTGAACTTTTCAGGGACACTGTCAGGTCAGCTTAGATTCAAAACCTAATGCACAGCTGGGATTCTGAAATTGCCTAAGGGAATTAGGTACCTGACTTCTACTGAAAGTCAAAGTGTGGGAGGAAATGTATTGACTTTCAGCAGGAATTAGATGATTTTGAAAAGCCTATCTGTATCCTTGTAAACAGAGGACCATGTCCTTCATGGAAATAAATTAATGTAACTCCTTTGACAACTGCATACCCAGCAAAGCATCTGATACAGAAATTTTACAAAACCCAAACTAGCCACAAAACCCTAAGAGCCACATTTACTTATTTGATTGTATTTTGGTTAGCACTAAATATTTACTTTCAATGTGCCATAATTATATTGTACAATGATGATATCAATAAAGTGTGGCATAACTATAAACCCAACTTCCATGAGATTACTTCATTAAGGACTTTCAGTTTCAGTCTGCCAGGCTGCAATTTGCAGTTTAACCCACTAATTTTAGTGGTACTCCTGGCCTTTTAAGTGCAGATTCAGAGCCTCAGAACATCCAAAATTTTCCCTAAAACATTTTTGTCTTAAAAAAACCCAGATCCGTACCTCATAGCAGGCAATAAGGAAACTCAGTACTTTTGAAAGCAGGTTTCTGTCTTGTTGACTGAGATTTTAGTGCTAAGCAATACAGCATTAAAATTTAGATTATGCAGCTTTGAAAATAAGTCCCTGGATATCTGACATTATTTCCTTTAATTCCTCATCACTACTTTAAAAAGTAATGCAAGAAATGCGATGTTGTCTGTAGTTTTATTATTTTTCACACAGGATGGACATTTGTCACTCCTATGCTAAAAATTCTGCTTTTTTTGACTCATGTATGTTTATATCTCCACATGTTTTACAACTTTAATAACCTGATGCTACAATATGAACTGAAATTTTTGGGATTTCTCTGTCCAACACCTTTAGAAAAAACAACTGTAGTAGTACCATTGGTCTGGAGTCAGAAATTTCCCTTTTCAATCTTAAAAGTCTTATTTATCGCCAAATATTCTCTAAGAATTCTACCAGTCTCCTAGGTAAAGCTACCTCATTCAATATTCAGCATGACTGCTAGAGGGGGAACTCAATGACAAAGTCAGAGGTCTTTCGGGGACAGGATGAAATCATGATACAAGATGGCACAGTCACAGAATGTACTGGTCCTTCATCTCTAGAACAGCAATTCACATCTGAATAGAGATGATTAGACAAAATTAGTGCACTTATTCCCTCTTTATCTTCAGTGGACATGAAATCAGACCACAGAACCACAGCAGAGAGCCTTGCAACTGGCATGCTTGGGTCATGAGGAATCCGATGCTTGAGAGAGCAGGTCAGGACTGCTTTGTTTATTTGTCTAAGATGACAATGTTCATTGCCTCAATCATCTGGAAAAGGGAGTAGTCTTGAGTAACTACTCCTGTCTTCAGTGCTCAGCAAAATCTGACATTTGCAACTTAATAACTGGCTTAAATGGAGAAGTAAGCTGCACTTTTCAAGACTCTGGCTGTTCTGCCCAGGATGAGAGAGCCCTGCTCAAGGGATCAAGTTCTAAACTATTTCTACTAGTTGGCAGCATGAGGAATATTTCTATAACAATGAGATCTTAGGGTTACAAGCAGTGAACAGAGGCATTGCTGTATGAATTTGGAAAGAAGGCTTCAGAGCAGTACTCTTCTCTTTTTATATCCAAGTATATTTTTATTCAGTGAGGTTGAGACAAAGAAGGTCTTGGGAGAAAAAAAGAGAATCTAACAAAGTACTTGGGTACCATAATATAATCTAAAATAACTCAGTGGTAATTTTTGCTAATACATAATCCCGCCCAAAACAAGACAGACTGCCTTTCTCACTGAAGTTAGGGTTTGAAAGCCAATTCAGATTTTACATGGATGCAAATATGAAAGGATATTATTAGGGGTATTGCACTGCTGCACAGCTGAGGTGGTATCAGAATTTGGACTAATGGTTCCACCTTGAACCTTCCTTATAACTAAGGACAGCAGGATCTGACTTTTAATCAGGACATTTTAGCTGTAGTATGTCAAAAGAGCTTGCAATTCTTTTCACAAGTTAAGTACACTTGTTTGATATCTAGTTTTACTTTATTACATTAAAGGATTCCAAGAGGTATGTTTTTGTTTTCAAATTCAAATATTGCTTAAAATGAGTGTTAAAATGTTATTCTACAGTATTAGGAACCTAAATAAAAGAACTTTTGGCCAGAATGAAGAAAAAGAATAGGATATTAATGCCTAAAACAAATTAAACTGAAAAGGCTATCTGCATTGTTCCCTATGAGAGAAATTAAGAACTGCATAATGGTATTTTTAAATTCCCTAAAATTGTAGTATTCTGCAATGTTTTCTAGCTGTGAGAAAATGTTTAGTCCTGATGCATGTACTATTCTTTTCAGGGTGAATTGGATCAGGTCCTATGTGACCAATTCTGCTAATTTACACTCTCATATACTGTTTAGTTTTAATGCACTGCATGATTAAAGGAGAATCAGGATTTCAGCCCAGTCTTCTTTACATTCTTGCTAGACTTTAGGTTAATTTAATACCTTATTTCTCCAGTTGCCTAATACAAAGGATGATTTCATTGTCACTAAGGATCACCTCTTTTCCTGTTTTTGTATTCTTACTGTTATTCTTCTTCTCACTGAAGTCTCCATTCTAGTCATAATGAACACTTGGAGCATTTCATTGAGAAAAATGAGGAGTTAAACGTTTTCTATTTCCCTAATCAAGACCCTGTCATTATCATCACTGAAAGCCAGAAAAACAGGTGAACAATGACAGAATTACATGAAAGGTAAAAAGGACACTGCCAAAGTGATTTTGTGATCACATTCACTTACAATAATAAACTGAATGTTGACATGGCAATCTAATTGCACACTAAAGTCTGTTGTGTAAACTCAATTACTAGTTGCATTACATAATGCTGATGCTCAATTGCTTCAGTCACAATTGAGCAAAATATGAACAGAAATTTGGAAAAGCCTCTAATTGTCATTGTGGGATAATTCATACAACTCATCAGTATGGCAGTTTTCAATTTGTTTTGATGTTTTTGAAACAGAAAGCCACAGTGATTCAATTCTAGAAGAAAAAGTAGCCTAGAAAAAAAAAACATGTGTTTTGCAAATGGACAGAAGAAAACAAAAGTAGGATAAATTTTTATTCTATCACTTCTGACAGTATCCTTTTAAGGAGAAGACTAAATTAAATTCTAAAGGCCAAATTCTTTTCTCATTCACATCACAATAACTCCAGAATAGTCCTACCAACTTTCATAAAATTACTCCAGATTTACAGAAATGCTATGACAGCAGAAGCTGGCTTTTCCAGCCTAGCTGTTTCATAATAGCAATACATTTTAAGAAGTGATATATAAAAGAAAATAGTTGGGTTTGGGTTAGGGTTTTTTTTATTATTCCATTAAATTAGATCTGCAATATCACAGAGAACGGCTGATTCCTCTTTTGGTTTCAGATAAGCTACTTTCAGAAAACAGATATGACGAGAGTAAGACAGAAAGATCAGAACAATCTTTGAATTAAGAATGTGTTCAGTAGACATACTTGGTTTCTTCCCATGCCACAGATTTCTTATCCTGAAATCTGTTTCACATAAATGGAGGAGAGTAGGATGTGGAAAATTGATCTGAAGGCTAAATTAAATTTCTCCTGCAGTCACCTGCTTGAGGAACAGAAAGAAGGCTTGGACTGGTGCAATTCGAAGAGCAAAGACATTAAGTAACAGCCCCAGCAAAGTGTCAGAGGTCTTCCAACAGGACGTATGCTATTCACATCCATTCCACCCTCTGGCAACACTCTCCCTAGCTGTTTCCAATTGATTCATGTTGTTTCTATACTTGTTGAAATGGTTCACACTGTTTCACTGTTATTACTGTTATTATTTTACCTATCCACACTTGTCTCTGCCAGTCTGTTATTCATAATTGCTAGGGCTCCAACCCCACCAGAGAATCCATTTTGCTTTGAATTAGAGCTCATTTGCCTTGGATAGCCATTAGCAGTTTCTGACAGCTGTTTCTGCATGATGGCCAGCGAGACTTTATTGGAGGCCAGGAAGTCTTTCATGGAGATCATCTCGCCTGACAGCCGGCGTCCATCTGTGTCACTCTCATTGACAACATCAGTCTCAATGGAGATGTTCCTCCGACTGCGCACATTTCCTGGCATTACCACATTCCTCCGTGAACGAAAAAATTTTCTTTGGCATCTGTGGCAGCACCTGCAGTCCAACTTCTTTAATATCCAGTTTATGGATTGTTTGATGACAATAGATATCACATTAAATAAGGAATAGATGCAGCACACTCCCATAAGTATGAAGACAAAATTGCCAAAGCGGTAAAGGCCTTGGCTCTCATACTTGATGTTCTGGCTACTGACCAGATCACCAAAACCAATGGTGCTGAAGGCCACAAAGCAGAAGTAAAGTGAGTCAAAGTAACTCCACCCTTCAATTGGTGTGTACATTGCAGAGGCACAGCAGGAAATGATGAGTGATGCTACACATAATATCAGCATAACGTAGTACACGGAGGGCTTCCAGCCTGCCAGGCTGTCCACCTCAGAGGTCCCCGAGCCCCGCCGGCCATTGTGAGGGAGGACGCCTTTCCTCCTCAGCTGTCTTTCATGGCAGGACTTCATAACGTAGGCTATGACAGTGATCAAGCGCTCCAGGAACAGGTTAAAGAACAAAATTGTCCCTGCACATCCTATAAGGCCATAAAAGATCAGAAAAATTTTGCCTCCAACGGTGGCTGGGGTGGTCATGCCAAACCCTAGAAGACAAAACAAAACAGTTGAAAAAAATAAACCTGTAGTTATTATGTCAGGAGTTTTGTCACATGCAAGACCAATGAACTGGCAGAAAATCCCTGTGGTAGCTCAGTTCTGGAAAAAAGCAAGGACACTCTACCCAGCTGTTACCCACTTGTGCTTCACCATGTCCCATCAGTAAGAGGAAGGAAATTCATGTCAGCATTTCCTCAAGAATAAGAATGAAACAAAAAGCAGAAGAAAACACACTGGAAAGGAAAGAGTTTAGTGGAGGTCTGAATTTTGGTTGCTAGATTTGCTCCATCCCTCATCATGCCTTGGATCACTTCCAGGCTTCATGTTATTGTACCCGCTTTCCTCTCCCTGATGCTGTTCTGCACCATGAGTCTGAACCAGGGGTGGCTCTTGCCTTGAAAGGGTCCATTGCCACCAGATCTCTGCAACCTGGGGTGAAATTTTTCTAAGCCTCACTTAGCTCCTGCTATAAGTGTAGGTGGCACATCACTCCGCACCCAGAACTCACCACAGCCCTGCCAGGGAAGCCCAAGCTGGGAGCGCACATGGGAGGATGCAGCCCCTGACAGGGTCAGCAGCCCCTCACGGGAGTCCCCAGTGGGCATTAGGGCTGCCCTGCCTCTCACCCTGGTGACTATCACCCATTATCAGCCCTTTTTTAACTCAGCATTGCTGAAGTTTCCCTATTTCTATGTGTCTCACTCCACAGCTCAAGTCTGTAAATAAGTCTTAATGAACATCTCTTCTGGTCTCATCCCCTGTCATGGGATTTCTCAGGCCAGTGGTGCTTCAGTCTTCTCTCAAATTCCTTCCTGCTTAAAGCATGCAAAGTTTTGTTTTGGTTAAAACTATCGATAAAACTATCTTTCTTTAATAAGATATTACTAAAGAATAAAAAGCATGTCCAGACATAATTGAGCAAATTGGAATAATATGATAAATAACTTTGCTGCTGTTTTATTAGGATTATAAGGGATTACATAACTGTTCGATTAAGCCAAAACAATATTGCTGAGGGGACAGAAAAATCATGCTGGACAAGAGACACAGTTATTTGTTTCCCTCTCTTTGTAATTGTGAGATGATAATTATAAAATAAAGACATTAGGCTCTGGGAAATAAAGGAAATCATATTCAGTGTGGTACATTTGTGCTTGGAAGACAGACAGCTGCAGTGTGAAGAGACCACATTTCCAATAGTGCTGAACTACACTCATCTTCCCTTCACTGGAAACCTGCTACCAGTACAGATTCCTCTCTAACACTGCTCCTGCCTCACATGGTTAAGCGACAGCCCTCGTCTTCACCCCTCCAGCACAACCCCCAAGCGTGGGCTCTCGAGGGTTGCTGCATCTTTGTCTGCATCCACAGCCAAACCACAGCATCCAGAGGACTTGCAGGAGGTCAAGCCTCCTCATCAAATTTCTGTGCTAGAGAGAGCTGGACTGCAGCTCTGTGTCATGGGGAACAGCACGACAAGAGACAAACCACCTAGACAAAATGTTCTTTGTGACAAGAACTTTTTGACTTATTCTCCTTGGCACACAAGTATTTCCACTCGCTTTCTCCTTCCCCTTCTGCTCTGTGACCTGATCCCCCAATAATACTAGTTTTGATGCTTATTTTCTGAGCAGGCTGGCTTATATGCAAGTCATGACCTCCACCCTGTGGACAGACACATAAAGACCAATGGACAAGAGGAACCTCTGCAGCTGGTAGGATCTGGCCCAAAGTAGCCGACTGGGAGGGAAGTGGGGGACATGTATGTTGGTTATTGGTTAACTTTGACTATCACCATGTTACACCTGGGATTAATTTGGGATGCTGTGTTATAGACTAGGACTTGTTTGACAGTAAGTACATTTTTCTCCAAATGGACTCCTGGGGTGTTTGAAATATTCAGAAATACAAGTAGATTTGATTAATTGTTTCAGCCAGGACATGCAGGAGGGCAAAACTGCAAAAGGCTGAAACAGCTGACATGAAATGACATCTGTTCTTTTGGCATTTTTATGATACAACATTTCATTTCAAAATATCTATCACCTTTTGGCTAAAAAAAAAAAAGGCAGTTTGAAGTAAAAAGAATGGAAAAAAATATTTGAAAAATCTTTCAGAGTTTTAAAGGCTTCATCATCTGAAAATGGAATGTAGTATTTCGCTAATGGTCAAATCAAATCTATTAAAAATTTCATTAGATTTTGACCTTATGAAAGACCTAAAAAAAAATCTGTTCCCACACAGCTTCAGGTTAAGTTTTTATTCTATTTTTTCCTGTTGGCCATCAAATATGAAATGTACTGATAAGTAATCTCTACTAAAACAAATTCTTTCAAAAACCCTTTTCATACACCAGCCCTGAAAACAGTAGCTGGAAGTAAATGGTTATCTTGGTGGGATCTACCTCTTCTTTTCCCTAAATTTGTGTAAGGAAAAATGTGTCTCATTCATGGACAAAAAGCATACCAGTAGGATTCTTCCTTGTTATAGTTATATTACTGATGATCTTGTGCTGTGCAAACACAGAGGATCTATGGATAAATCAGTTCCTTCATGAGGTCAGTAAAAGCTCTCACACTAAAACCCTGCCCTCTAACCTAAGGACACCAAAATAAGCCTGTTGGCTGTGTGCTGAGTTCATACACATTACTTGGGCATCAGAGAGCTGTGAGCTGTTCTCTCTGAAAGCAAAGACAAGCTTAGCCCACCAATGCCTGCCCTGGGGGCAGGTATCCCCATACATCCCCTGTCCATCCTGGACCTGGTCAGGGCTTGCAGTGGCTCTTTTGCAGGGAGGGACATAAGCAAAGGCTGGTGCAGAGCAAGATGATGTCTCCACATGAAAGTGGGACACGTGCTTACACCTGATAGCTGCAGAGCACACATATGCTCCCCTACCCAGAGACAGCATTACTTCCTCACCATATATTTTCCAGAAGATCAATGAGACACCAGACAAAACAGTATTTATCCCCTCTCTATCTGCTTCAGATACTTAACAGGGTAAGGGACTAAAAAATATGGACTCCCTATTTTGCTTGTAAAATGCCTTTTTTTCCTTGCATTATAGAAAAGGAGAATAGAGTCTGGGGTGCCACTACAGCATTTAAAAAGTGAAATATTGCAGATTTTTTTTTTTTAACCTGTAATGTGAATAAATGCCTGCCAGGTCTCTGCATAGAAGATGAGGCTTTCTCCAACATGCCACATAAGATCCTGCCTACCTGACAAACTGAACCAGAGACAAATATGCCACAGAGTATCTGAATTACTATTGACATACTTGATTGAGGCAGCATTTTTGATGCAAAATATTTAATTTTGCAGCTGAAATATGTCAAATTTGAAGTCTTGGCAGAATGGCAGGACACCAATTGCTCCAGCTGATGTCTTTCTCCAGTCTCTGCACCATCCCAGGAGAATCGTTCTTCCCCTGTTTCCTGTTGGGGTACCCCAGAACTGGGCTGGCAGCCCCATTTCCATGACTGTGACATGTACAGGCAGAACTGTCCTTGACCTGTCCTCAGAGACTACAGTCTTACAAACACCAGACTTCTCATTTCTAGTCCTTTAAAATGTTAACCAAAGGCAAAGTCCTTGTAACTTCAATGATTCTTGTAGACACTAGAGAAAAGACTGTGCATCCAGACTTGCCAGTTCATTTTTGCTGTCTTCTTGAGATAGGTAAAAGTGTCACACACATGTATTTCTCCACTGTAATTATAAGATCGGGTTTATTCACAAACTGGATCAATATACCTATAGCTGCAAGTCATGTTCATCAGAAAATGTAGCTCTTGATATTGTCATTGTCAAATCAGCCATCCAAACACATACTACAGTTGTGTAACTAAGCCTTCCTAGTTGCTTGCCTTTTCTTACAGCAAAAAATAATGGGTTTAGAAGCAATCGCCATATTTTCACTTTCCACTTGCTGCAGGATGTGGTCATCCATGTTCTGTGTGCCAGCTGAGGGGTGTCAGCTGTCCTGGGATTACAGACTTCAGGCGAGCAGGACCCAGCTGCAAGAACACAGAATTGCCATACTGGGTCAGACTGATGCCTTCAACAGTGAAAGGCTATAAGAAAGTGTGAGTAGGGGAGAAAATATGAACAGAGTGATCTTTCCCTGGGGTATCTCCCCAGCTCGCAGAAAATGGCATTTTAGATGTTTTGAGGATTTCACATTTAATAATTTACAGAATCACAGAATCATCTAGGTTGGAAAAGACCTTGAAGATCATCTAGTCCAAGTGTTAGCCTAGCACTGATAGTTCCCAACTACACCATATCCCTCAGTGTTAAATCGGCAGCCCATTCCAACACCCAACAACCCCTTCTGTAAAGAAATGCTTCCTAATATCCAGTCTAAACCTTCCCTGGAGCAACTTGAGGCCATTACCTCATTTGAACATCAATCTTGTAAAATAATTTTTCAGATCTTTTATACTGTTGGTCTCCATTAAACCTGAGGCAGTATGTTCCACAGTGTAATTATGCTTTGTGGAAAAGAAGGCTTTGTCTAACCTGTCGCCTGACAATTCATTTCAGGCTTCTCACTTTTTACAGTTAGCTGTAGCAATCATCATTCTCCATGCACATTCTCCCTTCACCTTCACCCTTCTGATTTTATAGACTTCGGTTATTTCCTTCTTTCTCATTTTTTCCCCAGTCTATAACATACAGTCTCTAGTTTTCAGTCTGGTAAGACATACTTCTAATCAGCCCTATTACACTGTTCCTTTTCTACCTTAATACAGTCTTTCAAAGATAAAGGAGCAGGACCAGAACTATACACAGTACTTGTAGCACAAAAGTACTTTGAATTTATGGAAAGAAGACTGATGTGTTGTGCTTTGCTCTCTTTTTAATAGGAATTCCTGTTTGTCTTTTTAATTGCTATTGAACACTGAAGTGGTATTTTTCACCAACCTGTCCACACCAGGTCTTAGCTCCCTTGCTTAACAAGTGATGGCTGCCTTGGAGCTCTTCAACGTCTATTCAGAAGATAGTTGCATCTATTTTTTTCCATGTGCACTACTCTGCATTTTTCACCACTGAATT